GAAAAAAGAAAAGGAGAAAAAAAATATAGAAAAACTTGTACAAAATGCTGGAGAGGATGGTGGAGAAGAAAATGGAGAAAATGGTGGAGAAAAGGGGAAAGAAAAAGGTAAAGAAAAGAGGGATGTCAAGTGTGAGTGGTTGCTATATGCATCTTATGTGGGCAAAGGGCCTACTGCTAGGATCAAGACATATCAACCTCAGTATGTATGTGGAAGGATGCAGAAGACCAAGTTTGCCACTTCTTCTTGGCTTGCTCAAAGGTTTGATGGGAACTTGAGAGATAATCCTAATATGTCTGTGTCGGATTTCATGAAGATTGTGAGGAAGAATTAGGGCATAGATATCACTGCAAACTAGTTTTACAAAGCCAGGAGCATAGCTAAAGAGAGAATACATGGAATTATTGAAGAACAGTACGCAAAATTGTGGGATTATTGTGAAGAGTCAAAGGCAAACAATCCAGGCAGCATTGTATTAATCAAGACTGATCTGCGAGGGGACAACCCAGTATTTAAAAGAATATATATCTGTTTTGGTGCATTGAAGAAGGGCTTTATTGCAGGATGCATGCTAGTTGTGGGTTTCAATGGTTGTCATGTGAAGGGAACTCATCCAGGACAGATTTTATCTGCAGTTGGTATTGATGCGAATAATGGGATGTACCCTGTCGCATTTGATGTGGTTGAAGTAGAAAATACCGAGACTTGGACATGGTTTATGGAGATTTTCTTTGCTGATGTTGGGTGTGAAAATGATAACGGTTGGGTTTTCATGTCAAATAAGCAAAAGGGTTTGGGGCAAGCCATTAGGGATTTGATGCCCACTGCTGAACACAAGCATTGTGTTAGGCAACTCCACAATAATTTCAAGATTGCTGGTCATAGTGGACTAGCATTGAAGCAAAGATTGTGGGTAGCAGCTAGATCAACTACAAGTATGCCAAGTGTTCCTGTCAAACAACTAGATCAAGGCAGGGGAAGGGGAACAAGTATGCCAAGTGTTCATGTCAGACAACCAGATAAAGCTGAGACTTCAATCCAAGCTAGACCTTTTAGAAGAACAAAGCTTGGGGTAATACCATATGTACTGATTTCCTTTAACTGCTTCAATTAAATGTTTAAACCAAATGTTAGCTGATTTGCTAATTTTGGTCATTCAAATAGGCGAGAAGAGAGGGGCAAGTGTCTGAACTAACAAGGCAGCTTGCTCAAACTAGTGTTACCTTACATGGAAATCAAATTGGGCATGCTTCTCAACCAAACTCAGAAAATGTACCTCTACCAAAAAGAGCAAGGCCATGGAGAGTGTAGTTGAGATTTGCTGATTTTGGTCATATGTGGTCATCGGGCTGATTTTGGTTTTTTGGAACACCAAAACATTAGGACCGCTTATTGTATTGTAATGGATATGTTTTGGAACATTTGATTTTGATGAATTTGTAGCTTATATGGTCCAAGGATTCTCAGACTGATTCCAATAGATTACTATTGGAACACAAATGTTTTGGTTGGATTATTGCTAGAACACATATGTTTTGCTGGGATTAGTGTTGGAACAGATGTTTTGTAATGGATATCTTTGCCTGGAATGGATATGTTTTGGTTGGATACTGTTGCAACACATATGTTCACATTCAACAAAATTGTCAATTGGAAACAAAATTGTCAAAACACAACTGATACATGCCAATATTACTTCAACAAAAAGACCAAAAGTTCATCTATTACACCTCTGCCACACAACTAATACACGACATTTCATTCATTGTCTTTGCCTTTTCTACTCCCCTTTATTTCTACTTCATATTACATAGGCAACTTCAAATATCCTTCATTGTCTTTGCCTTTCCCATACATCAACCACAAAACTATCACAAACAATAAACAAGACACCCAAAACCAAGGGTTTTTTTTTTCAGCTTCTCTAGCCGAGACTTTTTTGCATCTTCCATCATATTTATTTTCCGTAGCAGCCCAGGTATAATTTACTTTGACCTCTCACACATTTGTGGGTCACCCTATTCCCAAAATCTACATCTATTCTGCATATTTGTCACAACAAATTGATACATAAAAAACAGAAAGAAAAAAACAAGTTGTGCATCAGTCCAAATTTCTAATTGGCAACCCAAATTTCAAATGTGCAAACCAAATTTCAATTACAAACTTACCCTCCCACATATGTAAAACCTCCTCCCTGGATGTGCAGCAGTCCAAGATATTTGGATTTTCGCAATCTTCCCACAGTAGCAAATGACTGAAGGCACCATCCATGAACTACCCTCTTCACTTTATGAATTCCACCTCTGTGACCCATGACCTCCATGACCTCTGCTAGGTAAGGACCTCCTCATCTCGTAATATTGGGTTTTCTCCTAAACCCTAGATCCCCTTTTGGTTTAGGGTACGAAAATGGAGCTTGGAAAAAATGGAGGGTAATTCATTTGGTGAAAAAACGAGCCAAAACAAAGGAACTAATAGCTGAAGCATGGGTTTAGTTCAGTGGAGACGCGAAATGACAAAACTAACCTCCATCTTAACGGCACAATGGATGGGAAGTGCCAGATTCTGACGTCGAGGGGTACATTGGCCAAAAAAAATAGATCGGGTCCTTAATTTTCTATAAAAAAAAAGGATAAGGGGCTAATTGAAAGTTAGGTACAAGTTCAGGGGGCAAATCACTAGTATACCCTTTTTCAGAAGTTTGGGGTAGGCAATTGGCATGTAGGTATTTTTTTTTTAAGTTGAGAGAGGTTGCATGCGCTTGTGCGAGTGTGTGTGTTTTTTTTCTTGTCGTGTGATTCTCAATATTGTAATGGGTTGTGTTCGTGTTGGTTATTTTTCACCCGTTAACTTAAAGGGTTGTATCGCATCAACCCATTAAAAAAAGCATGTTGACACGAACGGCAAATATGACCCGTTTACCAAGTCTAACAAAATGATGAAGATTGGAGCAATGCTCTTATTTTTGTCAACTTTCTAAAGGTCTATTACGAAGCCACATTGAAGATGAGTCTTTCTTTACATTCGGCTTCCCACACCATCTTTCATGACTTGATTGCAATGGAAGGTAAAATTGAGGATTTGGTCATGGGAAATTATATGATGGAAATTGAAACCCACACTTCCAAGCCAAGGTATTGAATGATATGACACAAAGCATGAAGAAAAAATTTGAAAAGTATTGGGGTAACATAGATAAAGTGAATCAACTTTTGTTGGTAGCACTTGTGCTTGATCCTTGATTCAAGTTGAGCAACTTAGAATTTGTATTGAAGAGTCGATATGAAAGATCGGAAGATTCTATTAAGAAGAAGAATGAGGTGAAATTATAATAAAACTCTATGAAGAGTATGATATCCCACAACCAACACCCACTCATGAATCTAGCGCTACTAGTGCCGATATTAATACTAGTACCACTAGCATGGACCAAGGGGAAAGGAAAAGAAAGCAATTGGTGGAAAATTGGGTAAAAGAATCTCAATCAAATGATGTTGAACCAATCTTATTGAAAAAATAGTTCTCGACTTTGATATTTTGAAGTGGTGGAAATTGAATGGGGTTAAATATCCGGAATTGTCACTTTTGCAAAGAATGTAATTGTCATCCCGGTATCAACAGTAGCTTCGGAATTATGCTTTAGCAAGAGTGGTTGAGAAGTCAATTCCTTTCACCCTTCATTGACTCCTACGATTGTGGAAGACTTAATTTGTGCTCAAAATTGGTTAAAATCCAATGAAATCTCCTCTTTAGAGTATAAGCCAACTATTCAAGAGATGTAGTTTTATGAATCGATTAAATCAATTACTAGTTTCTGTTTTAATGTGATTTAATGATGCATGTATAATTGCCTAATGTTTCAATATGTTTATATTTATATTTTGTAGATCTTAGAAGCTCATTGGCACCAAACAATTCAACCCATGCTACTTTCCAGTGAGACCGAATTAGAGGTATGGATATGAGAATTGGATTGTCATTAAGTCACGTCTTCATGATTGAATTATGTAAATTCACAACCGATGGTGTTACTTGGTTTATCAACTCACAAGGCTTGAATCGAATATCAAATTGAGCTTTCACAGAGAACATTGAGGTTTCATTCCAGCAAGTTGAATTTCTGTCTAAGCAATCCAACTTACAACCCAACAACAAAATCTTGCTGGAATTGCTTAGACAGAAATTGACTAATAGTCAATATTCTTTTGACCAAAAGATAAAGCACAACTTTTCTAAGATCTTCCTCATTGACCATCTTGAATAAATTACAAACCTTTAGGTCCCAATCAACATTACTCTGCTGAGAGACATCAAGGAGATGGAATAAAGGAAAAAGGACTCAAATATGAGTCCAGGAAGAGATAAGCTCACTGTTACCAACGGTTCATTACCATTACAAAGTAGATCTCTAGCCTCCGAAATTTCTTTCCAGGTTGCAGAATGTCCAGATTTAATAGGAGCAGCGAAAGAGTGATGAAACAAATAAATTTTTCATACAAGTTGAACTCACCATTTTTGAGGCAATTAAGAACATTCCAACCCAATTTTGTAAGAGCTGCAAGGTTAACGGATTTCCTTCCAAGCAATAGGAGGGGCCCTATGTCCATCCTTTCTCCAGAAAAATTACCGAGACAAATTATCAGCAATATTAGAGGAAATCTGGGGAAAGGATGGAAATAGGGGCCCTATTTGCAATAGGAGCTGCAGTAAGTTAACTTGCCAAGAAGAGAATTTCCTCTGAGCAGTCCAGGAAATTCGAGGTATTAAAGGAGTCCTTCCGCTTCAGGATATTATTTATTCCAAGATGCCTTTCCAAAGTAACTTTATGTTGTATTTGCAAAAATTGGACCAATTGTTGTCGGCAAGCATTAGAAACATTTTTGGAAAAAAGGAAAGTCGACTTATGGAAACTAATCCTTTGTCCAGTTGCTGAAGCAAAGAGAGGTAGTAAGGTAGAAATCCTTCTGGCAGCCTTCACTGTCGCCTTTGCAAAGAAAAGTAGCAATATCTCATCGTACATACAGTAAACTATGCATGTTGCCAGTCCAATCCTAGTCACCAAACATGGCCGATAAGAATTGCATGAAACAAGTGAAATTCCTTTCATCTAAACGCCATCTAGAACACTACCTATAGCTTCAAAAATAATGGAGGCCAAACTTTCATCAGCAGTACTAATAACAGTGCTTGTTGTTCTGACTTCTATAAGAGCTTGGTTGGGATCATGGACATGTACTAGAGAAGCACTTTCTGATTCAGAACCAAATGCATCGCTAAGCGTTGCCTTGATGCCCCTGTTTGATAACACAACCAAAAGCTTCTCCAAATCAGGTGAACCCCAGTGTACCAGCGGTCTACTCTCTGAGGACTCTTGATTGCCAGTGGACAACTGTTGTCTGCCCTGATCTACGCAGAGCTCTCCCTTTAACCTTGTCATATTAATATTTTCCTGTTTCAAGTTCCTCCAATTAAACTGGGAAGCTAAATCTGTTGCAATCTCTAGTTCTGAATTGTCCTTCAAGCTTGGTATACGTAACGTTTCATTAATGCAGTAGTGAAAGGTCGAGCATGAATTTGATTTCAAAGAGCTAATCTGCTTCAAATCTTTAGGTAGCTATTTTGAGCAGAAAATAACAGGGGACTTATTAAAGAGATGAAATCTAATATATAAACAAGGAAAAAAAATCTTGCTTATACAAATAGAACAAAATGGAACTACCAGAACAACTTTTGGTTGCAATATCTTCAGCAACGGTTCAACATTCTGCAACCTACAAAAAGCAGATATCCCGATAGAAGTAGTTAAGTTGAATTCAGAAGTTGCTTAACGTTTCAAAGGAGTTGTTCAACGGAGTGATAAGGGGAATTAACATATTAAGAACCTAAATAGAAAATTAAATGCTAAATCTTGTTTTTTGGTTGAAATTTGTGTTCTTTTTTGGGTAGAAAGTTGCCTGCTAAGTGTCAAGACAAGCTAGTAGTTACAAAGCAGATAACTTGTACACAAAAGCCCTTCTAAAATGAAAACAGAACAATATAACTGATATGCCTTCTGACTAGAAAAAAAATACTCATTTTCAAACATGCAAACAGCTGTCAGTGCCACAACTTCACACGTTACTCACATTTGGAGCCCAAAGGCCGCCGATACATTTACGATATTAGCATGTCAGAGAACTCTATACGCCCAGCAAACCTTCATCTGGTACCATTGCCCCGCCACTCTGCCCACTAAAACCAGTGGTTTCCACTCCAATCATCCATCATTTCACAATTTCATGAGGTTGATCCCTATGGTTTGCATTTATACTTTCAAACGTTCTGTGGAGTGTAATCCACATGGGTTGGTGCTTATAATGGTATTTTGTTGTTGTTAAGATTGCCACATTACAATAATATGAATATATCAAAATGTTGTGTCAGTTTCAAGAAAAGAAGACAAACCCTACCTTATGCCAGAGAGAAATGAGCATTCAAGAACCTTCATTTCCATTGGCTTGAAAGGCAAGAGAGCCAGATCAACATCCGGTCCACTCTGCAAATCAAGCAGTAACAATTTAAGCATATATAGTTTCCATCCAGACACAAGGTAAAGATGCTTTCTTAAAAATAAAAAAAAATTCTGAGAACTTCCTTGAACTATTTATGTACACATGTGAAGTTCAACACAGCCAGTGAAAGTATATAGTAGCACCTCAAGAATGAGTAGAGAGTTTTGATCCCCAGACCAGCGCTGGAGCAAATGAACAGCTGGACCGAGCCGTAGACTCCAGTGAGGAGAGAAAACTATGCATGGTTCCTGCCAATTCATTCTATCACAAATGTCAATTGTTTGGGAAGGGCTTAGATAAGATAATTACTATACAAGTTGCTATTAAAACCCAAGATGACTGCTAAGTGTTGTGTAATTGTGCATCTTTATCACAACTCACAAGTATTCTTACTTTTCTTTTCTTTTTTCTTTTTTCTTTTGGTATACATTGATTTCTGATTAATATCCCCAGAAGGACAGAAAATACACTGCTTCCTGTCTTTTCCCCTTCCACTTTTAATCATGACAAATCTCATAATAGGTGAGCAACAACATTTGGGCTATATGAAGCAGATAGTTTCCCCATGTTTGGCTTAGGAATGAAGAAAGGAAAAGATAATAATATAATCAAGGTCCCCAACTTTCCATTTTTTGGTTATTAATGAAAACGAAAAAAAATAACAGAGTTTCATCCCAAACTTTGTCCACAAAAGAGGTGAGATTGAAGTGATAGTTGGCTGATAGACACAAAACTTGATAAAATCAGCCAAATCGAAAGCCATTAATCTATGCAAATCTCATTTAAGCTAAGGTATATAAGTTCTGAATATTGACTCCACAACAGTGACCATGAAGAAATATTCTAAAATAAGAAAGACAAATGTGGAACTCACAATAATTTAGGTGAATGAACTGCCGGAAACACATGAAGCTTCTTCTCATGTACAAGCTTGGCATGTGCAAACAATGGCTCACCAGAAAAAAGCTGCAAGACCAATTAAAAAAGAGTGACTGCAATGTCTTAAGTTGGCAATTCTAACAATTAAATGAAATCTCCAAGCACAATGTGATGAATAATAAGCTCAATATTTTTACCTTTTCTTGCCGCTGTTTGCATAGCCATTCAGGTATGATGTTGGAGAAAGCCAAGAATTCTTCAGCTAGAGAAGAAATAATATACATAGGAACCTGAAACAAGACAAGAATTCCACATATGCTCCATTATATGCCATAAAAGTAACACTTTGCCACATTTCTGTATAAAAGATTATTATGTCTCAGCAGGTAACTAATAACCTCTAAAATTTTATAGAACTCCTGTTAAGCATTCATCTTCAAGAGAAATACAATTAGTTAATTTCGATACTTCCGGTAGGACTTAAAGCACTGAAGCAAGTAAGCAAAAGACAAAAAATTTAGAGATACCTTCAAAGTTGAAACATCTAGTGAAGTTGATATCTGTTCTAACAGCAGCAGAACAATTCCCAGTCGACTAATGGGAATAAGGACTGAACCTCCAGCTTTCACGGAATCAATGACACAGGAGCATATAAAAGTTAGCTTGTCCCTTTCCTCCAAACCCTCATCAACATTAAGTAAGGACTTGGCCAGCTCTTGACAATCATTTTCATAATTTCTGCGCACATCAATTCCAATAGTTTAAAGATTTGATTTTCACATTTTGAGGATATTGACTTAGAAAAGTTAAAACCTTTATACCAATAAAGAACAAATCTGGCAAATTTATCAAACCTCATAAAATAAAATATAAAAAAAGATGGTAAATGCTATGTAAGCGTAATACCTGAGAGATGACCGATTGCAAGTAGTTGGAATGGAGTTATCATAGCCACTCTCAACATCTTCCGTAGCATCCGAGAATGAGAAATCTGAATATATTATTATATCATTCCCTCGAAGAGCATTGTAATCAAAATTCATTGCATGAGCAGAATCAAAGATGGAACTTGAAATAAAGCCAACGCCTCCCTTGGGACCATTTATTGTCCAATTACAAGAGCCTATTTCTAAACCCGAACTGAATGCCTTTATGATCAATGTGCTGTTGTAGCAGATTTCCTCCGCATATTTAAGTCTCAGAACCTTCTGCATGCAATCCTTCACATCAGCTGCACTGAGAAGTAGAAGCAATCTCTATTACATTCTCATATAGAGAAACTTGCTATATAGATATTTCAGACAATATTAGGGGTAAAAAACAACCAAGTATATTAGTCAGACAGTGTTACATCCAGATATGTCAATTTGAACCACATCCTACTAACCACCTGAAAAATAGCTCAGACTGAAGTCTAGTAACATAACATGTCAGACTGTCTGGCAAGAGAACATTTCCTTGATCTACACCCTAAGGAAATTTCATAGATTCAAAGTTAGGAAAATGTCAAAGAAATTTAGCTCCTTCTCCATCACCTGCCAATGGAGAAGCTGACGATGACAGCAATTCCAGATCACAAATTTATAAAGAGGTTATCTATCTAGAGGAAACATGTCCAAGTGCAACAGTACGCGTAACAAGACTCTTTAATTAGATACAACTTTCTGGCAGTTGGCATGTTCCACCAGGAAAATCTAATCATGAAACAAACAACATTAACTATTTGGGTGGAATATTAATTTACCTGTACAAGGAAAGCCAACCACCCAGTTCTCCCCCATCTTTGCCTAAAGCTACCTCTTTCAATGAAGACGGAAGAAGCGTAAGATCTTCCCACTTCATCCACTGGGGAAAAGACGACTCCTCAGGTCCAAAAAACTGTCTGATTTCCAGATGCATTGAAACAAGATCCTCCATCATAAGCTGTCCAAGTCTTGCTGTTGCTTCAGTCACATATATCTGACACATTTTAAGCACCAAAAAAAAAACTATTAAAACCAGATTCAATTTGGCGGAAACGTCAGAAATCAAAGTTAACAACTAATTCCTTAATGTATTTACCTTAGCAGAAAAACCCTTCATTCGAGTAAGAAATGGTAATCCTAGCATACCCGTTGGACTTGATATCAATACCACATCAATAAAAGAGACATTCCACAGGTGCAAGTTCTTGACAGTTTTGTACCAGGGCTCTGCATAAATTAAATCATCGGCATCCAGGGGCTTTTCGACTTTTTGTCTCTTCCA